GAGAGAGAGAGAGAGAGAGAGAGAGAGAGAGAGAGAGAGAGAGAGAGAGCAAGAGAAAGAGAGGAAAAGGGGGGAGAGAAAGAAGAGAGAGTAAGCTCTTACGCTCGCACGCGCTCATCGAGGGTGCGAGAAAAGAGCCCGGGTTCCCTTTGAAAGGCGATCGTCGCATCGCGGCTCCGGAGCGAACACGTAGATTTGCCGTAAATCTGCGGTAGATACGCGTCCAACACGGTGCGAAATAACTAAATCGACCGTGCATCGAGAGGAGATCACGTCGCTGCATCGAGCCGTCAGGGTCGTCCGCCGTCGACGACCGTGCTGGATAGGTAAGTGATCGTGAAGAGTACTTTAGTGCCGGTTTTCTCCTCGGCCGGTTCCTGAGGGTGGATAAGTGATTAAGCAGGTTGGTCGCGCCTCCTTCGATGACATTCAAGTGATCAAGATCAGTGATTCTCGGTTGCACGCGGCTGTAAAGGCTGTCGTGATCGTCGCCGACGTTATCGTTGCCATGGATTTTATGAACTGTGATGATGTGCACCACCGAGAGAATGTCTCGATCCCCAAGTGATATGAAAGGATAGATTTAGAAATTTGCAGAAAATTCGGATGTTTTCCGAGAAGGGTATAATAGTGAAGTAACTCTGTTGCATGGAGAATCTTTCTGCACTTTGTGTTGCCGGATAAGAATTCATCATGCGTGATTAAGTTATATTAGAAAACGAGAAAATTTATTAGATAATTTATATAGAATTAGAAAAAATTGTACATTTTTAATCTTTAGATATGTTTACGTATATTTGCTGTTTTTGCAGTAAACATGGAATCGTAAAATAATAATCAATTATCTATTAAATATTTCACTTATATAAGAACGGTTGTTTCGTTAATATATAATTAGCAAGGAGAGAGAGAACGATCGACCATTTATTATCAAATCGTATAAATTGATAAAAATTATCGATTCTTACAGTTAAATGACAAGGTTAAGGATGGGAGAACAATCGCAGAAATAATTCCTTCTTTCACAAGTCGTGAAAATGGATCGAAAGTCAAACCAAAAAGAGCCGGTCCGTAACTAAATAATCAAGGCGGCGTACAATAAGTATACGCGTATCGACTTGTAGCCAATGAAGGAAGTTAGACGTGCACAAACACTTCGTACAATTAAAAGACAATATTTGAATACCGAGTCAAACACCGCCAATACGTAAATATCAAGGAACGCTTCCGTTCCAATCCGGAGAATCTTGAATATCCGCGATATCCGGAAGAACATAGGATAGTCGCGAAACAGTACGAGAGTAATCTCGCAAATTACAATCTCGGAGATGATATAATCGAAATAAAATATATTTCATACAAAATTTATTCACGCTAGACCAATTGCAATTTTTTTGGCAAAACCCCTAAACTGAAATTGTTAAAAAATTCTAATAATCTTTTTCGAAATGTGATTATTGAACTCTTCGCAGTGTGTGCTCCTACACGGGATCAATAACCGGAAGTATATCGATTTTTTAAACGACAACTAGTCGAGGAGAATTTAAAACAGGCCGTACAGTCCTACGTAATGAGTCACAGAAGTACTGATGGGGATCGGAATAATAGTCCCGTGCGAGAGAGCGACGAAAAATGCAAACTAGAGGAATCTACGAGGACCTCCTCGGCCCCTCTTTGCATCTGTAATTGGTGTAGACTGCCTTGGCGTTCTTTTTGATAATGATAAAGAGAGACGCACTTGAATAAACGGGACATTCCTGTGGTGGATCTCCTCTTAATCTCATGGAAACCATGGCGGCGATGACGACGATGACGATCACGGCGACGACAACGATCGGAAATTCTGCATGACGCGGCGCCTCGCGTTCGAGCACGTGCAACCGCTGTTGCTGTTACATTCGCGGTCGATTGTTGCTATTTTCCTGACGACACGCCGCGATCTCGTCGTTCGCGAAGCAATCTTGCTTCACGCAAAAACGAACGGTCGGTAAATCCGTCACGGTCGACGTGCGTCCGATAGCTCGCCTATCGCGTAACGATCAACGGGCGTGATATATTAAATCGCCTTTCAACGGAAACGCGAGGTTTCCGATGAACAGTTAACTCTGCATATCGACCGTAATAATGCTGCCGATCCTCGCAGCCTCAACTGCGATGTTGCATTTCTAATACGCAATACTAGTTAGAAGACTTACTTGTCCGCGTCGCTACCGTAACGCTGAACGTTAAAAGAAATGTTCCTCTCACAGGAACATTTATTCTCGCTTTTTATTTCTTAATCTTCAACTACGGCTATATGTAAACTGCAAGTTTTAAAGCATTCTGTTTCAACAAAATGCAAATGAATCGCTTTATGGCGATTGATAGAGGAACTCTCAAAATTCTTTAGAGAAGAATTTTACTCCAAAGAATGAAAATTCTGCTTGTTTTGGAAAAGAATGATTGAATTTTTAATCTTCATATCAGAGAAATCTTATTCCTTAGAAATTCTACTTCAAAGAACTTAGAGAGAAGGTTCAAAGTTTTTTATCTATAATTTAAAACCTTATGGTACCAATCGTATAGGATAACTGTCCCTATTAATATGCCTTTTAGCCAATTTGCTTATTACTGAATTAATTATTAAATATTGTAGCTTTAATTTTATCTGTTTGCAATCAATATCGGTTTTTTCAACTACTTTTTTTTCTTATAATATTTCTTTAATCTAAAAAATGTTAATACTTTATAATGTTTTTGACAAAAATAAAAAATATGTTTTTGTCTCTATTAGTGAGTTCTCTAAGCGGCGATGGCCCTATTAATGTGCCCCCAATTTGGGAGCAATGCCTATCCACATTTGACTCATTTTAACATATAATTACTAAAACAGGTAATAAATTTAAGCTAATTGCTTATGTTAATATTACATAAATCATTATTTCAATTATATTTATTTCAATATACACTTATAACACAACGTTCTCAGCTCCAATACAGAGCACATTAGTAGGGACAAGTTTAAAATCTTGCGGTATATTACTAGATTCACATAAATTCCTTATATCTTTCGAAAAATATTTAAAATACTTTAATACTGAAAAAATAAAATATTATCTTCGATATCGTATGGATTAATAATTTAACTTAACAAAAAAAATATTTTTTCTTATTTAGTCGTGCTAGTTTTCTTTATGACTTATCAAAATACAAAAGCACCCTAATAGAGACAGGCACAGTAATTGGGACAGTTGTACAACCGTCTCAAATTTTCGCATCAAGTTTGAAATAACTTATTGCTGTAGTCGAGTTAATATCATGTATGATTAATCATTAAGCTATTTGTAATGACATTGTAAAATTCATGAATAAATTTCGCGGAAGGCTTTTTTCCACTCTATCAAGTGATTGTTTGACATCATATTTATTTAGAGATTTAATCACTAAATTGTTTAACTCGATTAAAAATTAAAAAATGGAAATATTCAACGCTGAAGCGAATTTTGTTTATAAGAAAAAAAATAGATTCCGCAGAATCTGTGCATGAAGAGAAATACCGGGAATACGTTAACAAAGTACTTATTATTGAACGTTAATTAGCAAGATCAACTTGTGTCCACAACGATGCTCGCGCGCTTGTTAGGTAGAACGACGAAAATGAAACGTGGTAATGGAGTGTAAATAAGAATCGTGTCTCGGCAGACACGTGATCTAGGAAGGGCAATAACCGAGAGAGAGAATCCGAAGTTTGTTGGTCCACAGGTAGACGGTGAGAGCGTCCTTAAGCCGCTGAATGATTATTTTGCGATCAACTCAGCCATCACTGCTGTCGCGCAACTTCTTGATAGGACATTTGCTGGTTTCTTTCTGTAATAGTACTGTTAGCCATTTACTTTAATTACGATTTTGCTTGCATATATTTCTTATGCATTACTAATTTTTTCAGTATTACACTTGAGGAAAACTCATAAAAAATATTATTAGGTACGAAGAACCGCCTTGATTGAAAAATATCTGGTAGAATTAATTAAAATTCTAGTTAAAAATGAACGAATCAGAATTTTCTGATTAAATCTGATTAGAATTATTTATTTTCTGATTAAAATTCTAATTAAGACAACCGGAGTTTTAATTGAAATAATCAGAATCTTTTGATTCGTCTATTTTTTACTTGGAAAATCTTTCTCTTTTTTTAAAATTAATTTTCTTCCTTTTACATCTACATACATTACATTTAATCATAAAAAATTATCTTGCAAATTAAATAATTTGAGAGATCGAAGATTATAAAATGAGTTAACGGTTCACAGTTCTTTCGTTACATCAATATGAAAAATAAAATATTGCACCTAAACTATCGAGGTTTTAATGTTACATTAAATACTGTGTGAGAGAGAAATGTCGTACGTGTCTTCGTCAGGCCCGTTTTAGATTCTCGCTTGACCGAGCACTCGAATCGCACGGATATTCACGAAACGGTAAAAACGAGAGAAGCGAACGGTGTGTGTCGAAGCAATGTATTCGTCATGAGCACACGCTACAATAAGTTTCAAAAGGACGAGGCGCGTGTCGGATCGTCGCCGTCGCTCGACTTTGAATGACGGACGCTTCACGTGACTTTCAAAGCGATCGATCGTTGAGCGTATTGAGCCGATAATCTATCCGATAAACAGTGTTGCGGATAAAAAAAAAACAACAACGAGAGAGACGCTTGGACGGCCGTCGGCCTCCGGTTATAAAAGAACAGCGTGTTACAAACAACGTGTGTAAAAATATCGAGTACATAGGTTCGCTCCTGCAGCGCGTGAAATGAGCTCGCGAATTCAATCGGACGCATCAATTCTTCACTCACGTAGGACAATACCGTAGAAATCGGATGGTTTTGCTGAATTTAGCGATACTTTAACAAATCGATAGAAGTCCTGGGACGATGACCCACGCTCTACTGCAGACGAGACAAAATAGGAATGTGCGAAACTATCAAGTTTCCAAATGGTATTTCCGCGCGTGAAATGCATTTGGTGTGTACCTCCGATCGATAAATCGAGTTGGACGTTCAGTCGTGAAATAGGATGATAAATTATCAGCTTTCTTGCTATCCGCACAATGAGGTGTAACACTGCTCTAGACACGCAAGAATTTTAAGCATCACGTACGAGAGTCGTGCTCTATCGACTATCGCGGTATTACAGACTGCCTCTAGTACGTTCGCGGCCGTCACTAAATATTATTACGCGAAACACTTGTTCATTCTTCTTGACGTTTTATCAACGGTTTTTTCCCTCTTCATTTCGCTCATTGAAAAAGCCATACAATGTTCGAACTTCGAATAGTTTCTCTCTCGTCT